GTACATATACAGTTGGACGGAGGAGGAGGAGGAGGAGAGAGAGAGCGCGAGAGACAGACACGATTGGAACGACGGACCGACAGAGACGGTGGCAGAGAGACTACCACTCTTCCATCTACTCTGCTTTCCATCCGGTCTCTGTTGTCACCCCCTCGACACCCCCTTCGATGCTGCCGCCGCCGCCATCACGTCGCGCTCTACCTCTTCTCTTCCGTGGCTCTACGCTTCCTGCTTGCCTGCCTGCCTGCCTGCCTGCCTGCTTGCTGCTTGCGTGGCCTGGCCTGCCTGTTCCCTCAACTCTCCCCCTGGCCTACTCTTCAAGCTTGATTCTCCCGTTCCTCTCCCTCCCCGCTCTTTTTCTCTCTCTCTCTCTCGTGTCTCTCGCTGTTGCCCCCGTTTTCGCTTGGTTCTCTTACGCCACCCCCTACCTCTCGTCAAAACCCAAACCATCAGCGACCACTACCATCGTCGCAGTCACCCACACGCCACGGCACAGGCTCCAGGCAGGCGTACCGTACAGCAGAGCTATCTGTTGTTATCACCAGTTATTTGCATCCCTTCGTAGTCGGAGGGGCGGCCGCCACTCTCTATCCTACCGTTCTGCCTGCCGCGAGAGAGGACGAGTGGTAGATGGAGACGGGGAAGGAGGGGACGTGAGAAGCAAGTGGGTGCGGAAGTGGGAGAGAGCAGGGGAGGACTTGAAATTCTCGGGAGCTTTACTTCCCGGGAATATTACGCATCCCGCTGTGAGCTCTCACTGCGAGCGCGCGACTCGAGTGATTCCTCATCTCTCACCCTTTTCTCTTAAACCGCCTCCTCCTCCTCCTCCTCCTCCTCCTCCTCTCCCTCCCACGCGCCTCTTTTACGCGCCCTCGGTGCGCGCGAAGCGACAGATGCGCAACAACGAGAATAAATCTCGATTAAACGAGCGCGCGGCCGTCAGCCGGCTCGCGCGCCCGACCGAGAATCGAGAGCCTCTCCAGATATGCGTATCTATGTACATATAATAGCGACGAGGCGATGTCACTTTCGAACTGAGCCTCGCGAATGTGTTGCGATAATTCAAACACAAAGCTGAAATTCTTGCTGCTTATACTTATAGTTCTCTTGCTCATCTCGTCGAGCCCTTCGACACGAGGGAAGATTTACGCGAGGAACGTCGTTTAATTAAGAGATATTTAACAGAGTTTCTAATTTACAAGAGCTGGTCGTTAAATGCACATTATTACGGAATAATGCGGAATCACCCTCGTTGAATCGTGGCTCGCTAAGCTCGGATTAATTGCCGAGGGGGTTACGGAACGAACGATCGCGGACTTTGGACGATCGGAGCTGCGGGGACGCGACGCCGCGTCCTTGAAAGACAGCGTTATCGGGCGGAAGCGGCCCAATGATGTCCTCGATTTTCGCACGCCACGAGTGACGCGGTAGGAGGAATCGGAGGGCGGAGATAGCGGAGAGATCTAGCTGTAACTGCATTGTACCGAGCACCCATATCGGTGAGAGGCACTCTCCAATTCCGCCTACCGAGACTGGGCGGCAGGAGAAAGAGGACGGAGGAAGAAAAAGGAGGAGCGCTGACGAATCGCCGGTGTTTAAAATTCCCGTGAGACTTGGCGGTTTCGCGCTCTCCTCGCTGCGAGAGAAGACGGCTGATATCGGAGGCCGCGTTGCACGGCGGCGGCGGTGGCGGCGTTGGGGAATGCGGAAAGGGAGCAGATTGGGGTTGCAGGGGCCGACCGAAAAGGTGTGGTGGTGGCGATGGCGGTAGCGGTGGTATGGAGAAAGCTGGGAGAAGGGTTGCAGTCGGGGACAGATTGCCGCGGGGACAAATAAGAGTGTATCCAGTCGCCGAACGCGCGACGAGGCGAATTTCGGGTAAATTGTTTCCCCTGCGCGCTCGCGCGCTCTCTCTCTCTTTCTTCCTCTCCTTCGTGCTATCTCGGGTACTCGAGCTCCAAGAGCCAGAAGAGACTCTCGGTGCCTCGGTCGAATCGTCGATTGAAATTTAGGGTGCTCGCCCGCGAAGGACGGGTTGTCTCTCCGCGGACTCACGACGCCCCCTTTCCTCTCATTCTTCCTGCCGTTTCTCTGTCTCTCTCTCTCTCTCTCTCTCGGGAGCAGCGATTTCGAATCGCCGCGCTGTAAGCCGCTCCCAAAGTTCATATCCTTCTCCCCTAATTTATTCAGAGTTATTCATCGTCGAAAGAACGTACGCGGCACGTCGGAGGAAAAGTGATTCGAAATGCACTTGACATACAAACTATTTATAGAAATATACAATCTGTCCGCAACTGGTGGCACGATTCATCACGGATAAGTGATGATGCCGCATGAAAACAATGGAAAGATATGGTAGCTGTATGATCTAAAATGATTTCGTATTTTCAAACGCGTCTGAAATCTCGAATAAAAGATTCGGGTTTCATTTTCCATATCCTTCTCCATTTCTAATAACGGCGTTTTTATTCGCGCATAATTTTTTACTCGCGATAATGTCGGTTGATATCGAAAAGGTAAAACTCAGAATCCGACGAACCGTGCCATGTGTTTAGCGGCAGACGCGATATGCGCGAGAGAGACAACTTTGAGAAATTCTTTACATAATTAACGAGCGGAACGTGTCGGCGGTGCGTGCACGGATTTATCCTGTCCTCGTCGACGTCGAATCGGCCGACGAGTGGGAGAGGGGACGAGAGGGGGGCGAGAGGGGGCGAAGGGTAGAAACGGAGCGCCGCGCCGACTTGGGCGATGGGCGATGGGCGCGATGAGTGGTACGAGCGAGCGCTTTCACGCGTTGCTACCCCTCGCGGTGGACCAATTAGCATCGTTTCACGTACGGTGTGACGTAAGTGGTCATCCAGTCTCTGTATCGGGCAAAGAGAGCGCGACTGCGCGCCGCAGGAAAAGTCTCGGTAAATAATAAATGCGCGCAACGCGCCGCGATAAACTTTTGGCGCATTATTTATCTTCCTCCCATTAATCGACCGCTCGCACCTTGCAAAACAACTAATTACCGTCTTCGGAGAAAAACGCTCGACAATGTTATCGGAATAATTTACACGTATCGCGCATATTTCTCTTATATGCGCAATGAAAATAAGAAAGATTAAAAACGAAATTATTTACTTGGATTGACAGAATGGTTGCGGCACCTTTTTTCATGAGTTTAGAAACATGCATTTAGATCGAGGGTTACGTTTCAAAATCTTCTTCATTCAGAAACCACTTTGAGCGCTTCTGATTTATTTCTCAAGTAAAATTTTCCTCATAGAAAATGTTTTGGAACATAAACCCCTGACTCTAAACGCGCGTTCTTAAAATAATTTAAAAAATGTGTCGCAACCATTCTGTCCATCACTGTACACTTTCTTTATAAGTTTCGAAGCTCGAAAAATAGATTCAAAATGACCATCGAGTAAAATATTTCTCAAAGAAGATTTGAATCTTAATATAAATGCACGTTCCTAAACTCATGAAAAAAGTGTCGCAATCATTCTGTCCATCACCGTATGCGGACTCGCGCGCGCCACGAAATAATTTTTTAAACTTCCGGTTAGTTTGAGATTATCATTGCGGAACATGAAAAAAGGCCCGATTACCGCACAGGAAACGTGTATTCTAAAATTATGTATGGGGTTTCCATGACATCGTCATTTGTCCGGCAGAGTGTTCGATATTTATTTAGAGAAAAAGAAATGATTTGGCATTTATTTGACGGAGAAAATGTTTAGAAATCTCGCAGATATTGAGTGCGGCGGCTATATTCTTTCCATCTCCAGCGAATTTGACGGAGCTGAGCTGTATTATACTCGCTCATGCATGCGCGATTCTCCTACCTATTGAAAAGTACGTCGCTCGTGCATCACCGCCGTGTATCTCTGTCGCGCGCACGTAACGCACCGAGGGAAGCCCTGATATCCTTTAACATCTAAATCAAGCGTGAAGAATTGGGCCGTGATCGATATTATTACGAAATTTAGAATGTCGACGCGCGCGAGGGATCCATTCTCCTCCCGCGATATCTTCTTCTCGCTGCCACGTAAGAGAGATCGAGTCTTTAATCTGTACACGCGACTCGACCTGTCTCGTAAAGTTATTTGTACAAGAAATTTTGGTTCTCTAATAAAACGTAGGAGAGGATTTGAGGGAAGAGAAGGGCTTCTCGCTGTTTGTTCCTAGAAAACTGATTTGAGCGAATGTAAGGGAACCGACGGCGCGATGGTGAAAATCTTATCCTACCTGCGAGATACCGGGTTCCTCCGATTGTTTACAGCGCGGCGGAAGATTGGTGGCAAACTGCATACCGCGTAACGGCGAGTTTTTCCAATTCCATCCGGCTTTAGAGACGGAGGCATGCCCGATCGGATCCCTTCGCGACGTGTAAACACGTACATACGTACCCCTCGTCGAAGAGACACGTCGCGGTGCGCCGCCGGGGAGAAAGATTCCTCCTCGCGTATATCTGTTTTCCACTTTTTTTTTCCCTCCCCCGGCAGGGCTACCGCTCGCCGCTCGCCGCTCGCCAGCACGGTAGCCTCTCCTTCCCTCTTCACTTTTTAGTGCCGCCCTCCTCTCTCTATCCGTCTCTATCTCGCTCCCGTTCCATTCTTCGCGCCGCGAACGCCCGCGGTCCCTCCCTCGCTTCCTCCCTCTCCCACTTCGTCTTTGCCTCGAAATGTGGCATTCAACAGGGCTTCCACGCTGCTTGCGGCGGTGCGGAATCCGCGCCGGTTTGCCGCTACGCGCGCGGCTCGGCGCGGGGGGGTGCGTCGGGGAAATGATGCGCAGATTGGCCGGATCATCTCAAAAACCACCACCCTCCCGCCTCCTAGCCCTCCTCCTCCGCTTCCTCCTCCTTCTGCTCCTCCACTACCTCTCTCGCCCCCTCTCCCCCCCGCGCTCGCTCGCGTTCGCTTCGTCCTCTACGTCCCTCGCGCGCTCTTCGGCAGGCAGCGGAACTCCCCGTTGCTCTCTCGCACCCTCGTCGCCGACGGTCGCCAAGGGATGGAATACAACCCCCACCGCCGCCAGCACCGTCACCGCTGCCGCCACCGCACCATCGCCGAACAACCATCCCGGCTGCCACGCAGCCGTCGACGACGAGTGACTGAGTCCTCCGATTATTATCTCATTTGCCGCCACGGCTAGCGGCACGCGACGAACCCCGTGCCGACCAGCTCTGGGATCCATAGATCGTCGTCCCGCCTGACCGCTGGATCGTCCTTTGCGAAGCGCCTCCACAACTTTGAGGATCCCGCCGCTCGCCGTCGCGTCGTCGCATCTAAGCGCGTACAGGTGAGTGCGACGAGAGAGAGAGAGAGAGAGAGGACCGCGCTCTTCTTTATTTGTCTTATTGACAATTGACAAATCGTTTCTATTTTATTTAATAATAATTTACTTTGAAAGTAACTTACTTCTTACTTACTCGCGAAGCGACGTGATTCTCTGTCGCGCCACTAATGATGTCGCGATTGTGCCGCTTAACCGATGGCTATTCCATGTGCTTCCCGTTAACCGCCCGCCGTGTATATCGCATCTGCATGACAATCGAAACGCTCAATTCCGCAAACACCTTGTTTTCTTTTCCTCTACAAGAATATAACGCAATTAACGTGATTACCGCGCAATAACTTTCATCGCGTAACAATCGCGCTGCATTCTTTCATACTTTTGCTTGGGCATCGCATCTGTGTGATCTATGATAGAGGCCGTTATCGGTTCCCACAATTCGCGACGAGACTTGATCTTTGATTCAACGGCATTTAACGATATTTTAATCGGCGCTGTCTCTTCTGGAGAATAACATTCTCCCGACTTTTTGTACACTTTTACAACTCTTGATACATCTCTGCAATTTTTATATTCTCTATTTTATATCAATAGGATATCATTTAGGGATGGTCGGCATTTTGTACTCGTGGAAATTGATCGATGACTGCTAAACAAATAACGTTGAATGAATAATAATAATAGCAGCGATAGTAGAAAATGGTGGAAAGTGACTCGTTTCTTGGGGGCGCGAGATAAGTCCGGGAGTCATTCGACGAGCGTGTCCCTTCGTGCGACACGGAGAATAGGACGTTTGAATTACGCAGAGAGTTCAACCGTAAAAAAGCCCAGATTCCGCTATGAACGACGGCTTTTTCTCCTTATGCAAAGTGAGGACGAGAGCTCGCCGCGAGAACGCTCGGTGATAAAAATATTTATGTGAGTGGTAAAAGAATCGCACATCTCTTTTCGAAGAAAAATTGAAGGCGCGACTTTGGAGCGCCAAGATAATCGGCGCAAAAAGATACGAGATTTGAGCTTGCTTTAGACATTGTATGACGCGGTGCAATTAATTGAACCAGCTGCTTATTTTGAAATTATTTTTCGATTTCGACAAGATTGGCGATTTCAAGATAACGGGTTCTTAAATAGACTGATATTCCTGAGGACATTCTTCGATGAAAATATACGTAAAACGAGGAATCTGTTCAGAATACTCTTTCAAACAATGCTTTTGGGCCAGATAACTGTAAAAAAAATATGTGAAAATGGTTAGCGAACAAAAGCATCGAAAGCTGCCTTGAGGGCGAAAGAAGCGCACATCTATGCGATATCTAACGACGCGAAATGAAGCTGCCGCCGCAAATTGGACGACGGCAATTGTAGAAAAATATTTCTTTTACAATTTTATGGGAAAACTCTATCACTCTGTGCTAGTGAGGAGGCAAATACTACTAAATACGAATGCTACTGGCGATTGTGGCAATAATAATAATAACGATAATAATTGTACACAAGAAAAGTCTACACATTTTTCCTATGTCTTAACTAAATCTTAAACAAATGTCTAATTGACATAGAAAGATTATTCAATAAAAAATATCTAATCACGTCGATCAAAGTGACAGACAGACCGCACGTACGAATGTGAAAGATAATACGGTAAAAGGAGAGAAAGATATGATCAAGTTGAATAAAAATCAAACAAGAAGCACGCGCGCGCGCGCTCGTGTGTGTGTGTGCGTGTGGTTCATTTTATTCGATACGCTTTGCATCTCGCGACGGAGATAGTGACGATAAAATGAAGGCCGAAAGGAGGTTACAGGAGTAGAAAGAAGAGACGAGGACGAAGAGAGAGAAAGATGCGGGATCAGAGTTTAGGAGAGGGTGACGGCGAAGGGTACGGAGCGGGGGCGGGGGCGGGAACGAGGGCGGCAGGCCGAGGGAGGTAGAGCAGCGCGAATGCAAATATTCGCAGCGACAGAGATTGAAACAATCCGCCAATTAGAATCGTCGACGCGAACGGGATTATGCAGATTCGCGCCGCCCGCCCGGTGGCGGACGGGACTGGCACTCTGGCAGCTGCCGCAGCGCGAGCGAGCTTAATTCAATCCGCCGAGTTGTCTTATGAATCGTAAACCGGCCTTCCCTCGCGCGCCGCGTGAAATCGAGATCGTCTCTCCACGGCGACGGCGACGGCGACGGCGGTGACGACGGTGACGTCCAAGTGATCCGCGACCGCGCGCGCGCGCTCCATCGCCTCGCTCGCCTCGAGCGGAATAATAATATAAAGCCGTCCCGTAAAGTCTCTTTACGATCTTTCAAATGGCTCTCCAGCTGCTACCATTGTCCCTTAAACGAGTCTCCGCGCGAGAAAAAAATCGTCTTCGCCCCCCCCGCAGGATTTCCTCCGGGCGAACGCTTCTCGCGTGATCGTCGTGAGACCGGGAATACCCGAATACAATTCTTTCCAGGAAAATTTATGATGAAAGTAACACAAATTTTAATTATCGCGATATCAATAACTTGGATTTTATAATTCAACATTTCGTCGAGTTGAGGCGACTTTGACAACATTTTTTATATGTCAAAAGAAGCGCGGTCTTGTCATCGCAACTATAACTTGGACGTGAATCGCGCAATACGGACGAGTGGAATTATGGCGGCAGCGGTGGCGGCAGCGGGTATTTATCACGAAGAGTAAAACTGACAGCAGTCCATTTCCCGTTCGTCCTGCCTGTCTGGCTGAACATAATATCTCCTGACGAAACAACGTGGACGCCGTTTGTTTGGGAAACAATGGACCGAAACAATGCCCGACCCCCCCCCTCTCTCTCTCTCTCTCTCTCTCTCTCTCTGTACGCGCGAACGCGCGGATACAGATCTCCTCTTTCTCTCTCTCTCTCTCGCTCTCTCTCCGCTTTCCCGCCCCGCTGCTCTTTGGTCTTTCCGCATTGAAATCTTTTCAGAAACCTCTGCTCTTTGCTACGAAGAAATATTTCTTCGATGACTGTATGGTTGCTGCATCACGAGAGCTCATTTGTCGCGATCTGCAACATTCTCGTCTAAAAAACTGAGGAGCCGAAAATCTCCTCGCATTGTTTTTTAAAATAATGATTTTTTTCGCATATATATACATATATATATGTGTGTGTGTGTAGACATTCCTTTTGTAAAAATCAACGAAAAAGACTTACGTGATACAACAATATCATACGTAGATGCACATCGACGAGATAATGGTTCTTTTTCAATAGCCATTTACAATGCAAGAACTTGCGGAAAGACAAAACGATGAGCGGGATATCAATTAAAATTTCTGCGTGAACGAATTTGCACGAGAAATTCCCGATAACTTGGCGGAAATTCTCACACTCGGGCGAAAGCGAACGTGTACTTGACAGAAATTAGTATTCCTTAATGGATGACGCGATACCCGACTAGTTCATCCCGCCCCACCGTAGATTCCGCTCTTCCTTGGTCTCAGACTTAAGACCGGGTGCCATTCAATTAATTTCAGAAGACAATAGTAGCTCACTTCCACATCGGCGGATCGTGCCTGTACGCGAGTACCGTACACACTCGTTACATCGCCAAACGACGCGCTACCTTACGTCGCTGGCAGGATATTCACGATTATACTTAACTGGAAAAATACAATACGAAAATCCGCCTTTCACACAACTCGTCAAGATTCTTGTAAATCTCCGCAGAGACTATCAAACAAAACACGTATGAGAAGTAACAGGATAAAAATGGTAGAATTAAAGCTATGATCAAAGTCTACGACTGTAAAGTTCGCTGATCGCGCGCATCGTAGACCTGTACAATTTGTAGCAGAGTAAAATAAAAAAAGGGAAAATTTTTTTAAAGTCGACCAGACTGGCAAGAAAAGTGATCTTTATTTAAGTCACAACGTTTCGACCTCTTTATCGGGTCCTTTTCAAGTACAATCTGGAAAGTATAATCTTAATCTTAAATGCTCTGATTATTGGTTTCCAGGTTGCACTTGAAAAAGACTCGATAAAGAGGTCGAAACTTAAAAAAAGTTTCCTTTGTTTAATTACCACTGGCGAGAATAAGCTTCGCTCAATTTTGTGAAATAAAAAGATACGCAGAGATGGTAAGATGGCGGTCGCTTCGAATTAGGTAATGAGATTTTTGCGACAAGACCAAATTATCACTTAAATTGAAGTTAATCCAAGTATCCGGCGATAATCTAACACAATTACGAAAAAGCTTTTCTTTTATCGAAACAGCCGAGAAAATGACGACGACCACGGGCGACCCGTCGACGCTGAAGACCCCGGCTTCCCTGTCGGGTGGAGATCTCGTTTCTCGTCTACTGGCGGCCACTCCTCCGTATCTGTACAATGTGCCGCTGACGCCTCACAGCTTCTTCTTCAGCGAAATGTTGCGCTCCTTCGTGCAGGCCAAAACGGAGGCATCGTCGACTGGTAACGGTAGCGGCGGCGGCGGTGGTGGTGGCGGCGGTACGGCGAACGCGCCACGACGCCGCAAGCGATCCTGGCGAGACGCTCGAGACAGGCCATTGGAGCTCACGACGAAGGAACGGCCGCATCATCATCACCATCATCACCATTATCACCAGCATTCGGAAAAGTACTATCACTCCACGGCGCAGCAGCAGCAGCAACAGCAGCAGCAGCCGCCGGCTCAGGTACTGCCGGAGACTCGTCTGGAGAACGACGGCAAGCGATCTGACGCCTATCTCGACACGTTGGAGAACAAAGTCGGCGCGACGTTCGATCAGAAGCCCAACTTTGGCGACGACATCCTTAAACCGATCGACGAGAACAAGACCGAGTTTCCGCGTCAGCACGGGACCAAGAATTTCTTCGACGAACGACCGCGACACTTGGAGCAGCCGCCGGAGAACGTATTCCCTGGCGGAGAAACACGGAAGGTCAAGCCGGAGGATTCGCAGCAGTTGGACCGCAACGGCGGTAGGAATTGCAATTTCGACGGCGGCAGGAGTTACGAGGATCGTTCCAAGAGCATCGCGCTCGGTCAGGAGGTGTCCCCTCTGCAGGTGTCGGAGCAGAAAAAATTGGACTTGTCGCGGGTAGGCCCCTTCTTGCCCGGCATGCCGACTAGAGGGTGCGAGGGCGTACTTCAGGGAGTGAAAGGCTTCGCTCTGCCCGGCGGCGTGTCCACTCCGGCGGAATTTCTACCCGGGCCCCTCTGGTACCCGCCGTACCCGATGCCGCAATCCTATCCCGGCATTGATCCTCTGCACTTTTTCATCGACTTGCGTGTCTCCGGGCACATTTGGGATCGCAAGCACGCCAGTGAGCGGCAGCTGTCTTTCAAGAGCAAACATTGCTCGGCCTTCAGCGTCCCGCAGTCCAAGGAGTGCGGTAATCGCCCGTTGAATCTTACCCGCGACGAGGTCACGACGTCGAAGAATCCGGACGTGGAGAATACGCAGGGTACCAATTACATTTTGAAGCACCTCATGAAAACATACCAGGACATTCAGCGGATCAAGACCTCCAGAACGGACCTGTCGATGGAGAACGAGGAGAATTCCAAGGAAATGCAGCAAGGTAAGAGGACGTCGCGGCATTTTTTATCTTCAATTACAATCGCTGCTTTCTTAATCTTCGCCAACTCGGTTGGCATCAGAATTTGTCTATATTTTGCTTGATCGGCGATGACGTTTCCAAGTATTTTCGGCAAGATGACAGAAATTATCTTTACATCGGCGCTCGTCATTGAGATTGTGAAAAGCATACTCCTCTCTCATTGTTCTTGCTCGTCTGCACTGAAAAGAAAATTTTCGCTACCACAGCTCTAATCGTGATTTGCTAAAAATGTTTTGCTGCCATAACTATAAACTTGTAAAGCACAGCAAACGGTTTGCTGTCGCACCTAATACAATAGGCACTGTAGCGAGATATTAGCTATCCATATTTTACAACTGACGCGTAGAATTGCTACGTGCAGTTTTGAGCGTGATATTCCGAGATATTACCAGACGTTCTCTCGGCTATTTTAAAGAGACGTACACGGCTGCGATAAAACATTCGTAATATCGCGATGGTTTTTCAAGCTGGCGAGGACACTGCGAAGGTAGAGGATCCCGGCAGTACGACGACAAATTCCGAAGAGGAGAGAAAGGATTTGCGAGCTCTGATCGGTCTCGAACTAGTGGTGGACTATGTGAAAGAACCGAAGGACGACTCGTCGACCGAGCAGACGCCACAAGTAACGGAATAACTTATCTGTAACACACGCAATTTGTGCAAAGGACGGCGCGTCGGACGGTCCTTCCACTTTAATCGCTAAAATAGTAGTAGTGTTGTTATTATTCGCATTCTCTCGTGTAACACCTCCGAAAGCACGCTCGCGACGGTATATTCTTTCGCCGTAATATAGTACCTCAGACAAGATAGGACTCGCCAGACTGTGTCTTACATTTCCGTGTGACGATTCGCTTTGAATTGGATTTTAGCCGAAATGTCTTCCCTTTCTTTCTCGCGCCAACAAGTATTTCTTGTATATTTCCAAACGGCAATTTATCGCGCTGTTCATTGAAGATGTTTGTAAGACTACCGTTACATTTTCTCTGAAATCTTTCTTTCATTCGTGCACGAATTGATTTCATACATTCTAAACAGTCGAAGGAGAAGCTACGAGTCTCGGTTCTTGGCGAGAATGAAGAACTCGATCGGCGCTGAAATTCGCTTGGATGCGAGTTCGACATGTGATATGCACTGTAAATAGTAATTATAATAGTATCCCGATGTATCTATATGTATCGATAGAAAGTACTCGTTGTTATGTAAGTTGAACGTAATAAAAGCAATGGGATTTAACTGCATCACGTTCGTTTCTTATCGGCTGGCGCTTCCTCGTGCATCGACGAAAGCTTCATTTTAATGCGCGAGTTACGCGCTATCGTGATTAGCTATGACGCGAAGCTCCAAGATCACTTCGCCCTTGTTGTTCCCGTTGAGCTTCATCAATTTCCGCCCTCCTTGCGGAACGAGGATAACGTCGTCCAAGTTGCCTCTTCTGGTGGCCGGTTCGGTTAATCTGTAGTACGCGACCGGTCGATCCGCGTCCCTGTTCGACTCGACATACGGCTTTTCCGGCGCGACGACGGTGTATATCTGATCAAGTCGAGACATAAATTTTCACTCGCTGTCCAGATGATATAAATATAAATACATCCCAGTGAGAATTCGATGTCGACATTCTTTTAAGCCTTGTGTCCAACAACAGCTCTTCCGTAAAAGATGCAAGTCAATTGACTTGGACACAAGGCTTTGAGATTCTCGAGTTTATTTCCCAAAACTTGACTGACCTTTCTGCCCGGGGATACGACGTTCTCGCGATCGAGGGGATCTCCCGCGGAGAAAGCCAGGTCGAGATCGCGAGAAGCCTGCTGTTCCACCATCGGATAGATCGCGTCGTTGCTTCGCGCACCGAAATCGTCGAGATTCTCCAGGTAATAAACTCTGCCGTCGGCATAGTTGGCGACAGAGACGGCGATCGCAAAGAGAATAACGTTCCTCATATCCGATAGTAATATTCCAACTGAAGATGCTACGCGCCAAACGTCCGCGAGGATAATGGAAGAAAAGTTTTCAGTGTGCCGACATATGTTGTACTCGCTAATTCGCGGATAAGGCGATTATCGTCGTGCATAGAAACAATTAATTACACGTGCGTCACGTTCTTACGTGGGCGGGATTAAAATGTTGCCGACGACACTTGTCGAATCTCTTAGATAAACGTCTCGCGAGGAAACGTACGTGTATCGTTGTAAGGTAACCCGCTCTCTCGTGTCTTACGCTCCTTAGAGGAGAGAGAGGTAGACGTTATTGGGGCGCGACGAGAGATTAAAAAGGGACTTTTTTTTCCCCCGAGAGAGGATCGCTTCCATCGCGATCCGCTGGTCCGGGGTCCGGGGCGGTTGCATCGCTCGGACCCGGATCCTGAATAATGCATGAAATTTGTTCCCCGGAATCGAATCGCGCCTCGTCACCGGCGCGACGGCACGACGACAAGAGAGCGGGCATAAATCTAAATAATTTCAACCCTCGAATTTTTATTATTCCTATGACTAGGATGGCGCGCACGCACGCGCTCCTCATGTGTGTGTGTGCGTGCGTTTGGTGGTGCCCCGTGCCCTCGTGCCTCGTGCCCCGTTGAATATGCATTTCCGCACTTTGTGCAACTACCCCGCCTATGCACATCGCGCTTCTTGCATCGACTCGCACTGTCGCGCAGCCTCGTAGACACTCGTTAGCATCGCCGTTACAGCCGTTATCGCGCAGACAAGAGCGTGTTATGACAAGGGTTTATCAATCCCGCCGCTATTGAGTGTTTTCAAACGCATTTTAACACATTTAATGTCATATGTCGCGCAGTTGGGGATCGATAACACGTGAGATACGTCGTTTCTGGACGTAAAAAAAAATATATCAAACGATCCGCGCTGCGAAATGCGCAGCGGAATATTTCGACGATAACCCTGTCTCGTCGTCGCGATACTCTACTAACAGTAAGCAATCTTTATCGCGATTCGCGACGTTTCGATTCAACTCGCAATGGCACACTTTGATTTAAATGTTATACCTACCACGTGAAAAAGCAGAGCGACGCCGTATCTCGGTCCGAAGGAAAATATAATATTTAAATTTTTGAACGGGGAAGTTAGTCATTACTCACTCCCGGCGGATCGCGATAAATCACGGAAGAAATTAACGAGCGGCGAAGATGACACTTGGTCCCCTCCTCGTCTCGTCCCGTCCTTTTCCTTAGCCGTTTCCAGCCCCACCGGTGAAATATAGCCGGCAACTTTTCTCATACTTGAGAATTTTCCTGAGCGCCGCATCCCACCGCGTACCGGAGAGCGACGAGAGCGAGGGAGAGTAGGGGGGGGGGGGGAGTTATATCAAGTGCTCGCGGGATGAGTATACTATAACGCAACACTCTGCGAGGGGGAAAGAGAAGAGCGACGCACCTCTTCGCAATGTTGCTACAAAGAACGATCGAGAGGACTTGCCGTAGATATCGTCGTCTTCTCGCGATCGCCTTCTTCGAAAATTATTACTCGCTACGTATAAAATTAAAATTTTACGTACAAGCACACCCATTTACAATGCAAGGATCGGCATAATTTGTAACGTAATAGAATGAACTGTAAATGCGGTCAGGTGTTAAATTCGTAAACCTTTATTTTTTCGTAATACTGCGCAATTTCGATATTTTCAACTATTCTTACAATTAATCTAACTGTAAGACACACGTCTCGCATAACAATTTTATTTAAAATTATGGTACAGCGTTCCTACTATTTAATTTACATAGCTAATTACAATCTCTACCGAGACCTTATCTCTGAACAGTTGTTATATTGATCATATGTATATACAGAAGCAAAGTAATCGATGCGGTCGACAGAAATGGTGACGTACGTTTATGATTGTGTTATAAACAAAAGTAAATGACGTTTCGTATGAGAAATCATTGAAATCGAGTCAAATTATGCAAGTCAAATCGAGAGAGTACTCTACCTAGGAAGAGAAAATAATCTACATGCGCACTCATATGGAGGACTGAGATACTCATTCCAATTGTAAATTTACAATGGAGACGCACACACCCGAAACTGCGTGCGAATGGTAGAAAATAGCGGTCCCTTGATGGCGGACGCACGGATTCTACGAGTATTTGGCAGTTGAAATCTGGGCATTTCAACCAAGTATCTGTCCTTTTTATTTAGTTTGCGCAGTAACCCTCTTACAAATTTCATTTGTATACTCGCTGCACTTTGCAGTGCCGCCTAAATCACCGGTCAGATACTTGGCTTCCTTGATAGTGTCGTAAGCAGCGCGTTCGATGATCTTGGCGTGACTGCCCAGGCCCATATATTTGAGCATCATCACCGCGGAGAGCAATAACGCCGTGGGGTTCGCCTTATCTTGGCCGGCAATATCGGGCGCCGTTCCATGTACCTGTACCAATCAGATGTTGCGTAAAGTAAATGTAAAAAACAATTGATGTAAAGTTTACATTACAACAATGTACCGATTCAAACAAGGCTCCGTTCAGACCAATGTTACCGCTTGGCGTGAGACCGAGGCCTCCGACGAGTCCAGCGCACAAGTCAGACAAAATATCGCCGTACAAGTTAGGCATGACAAGCACGTCGTATTGACTCGGATCCTGCACCATGTTTAGGCAAACTGTATCCAGATACCTCTCCTCGAATTTGACAGATGGAAACTTTTGCGCGGCTTCTCGACAACACCTCAGGAACAAGCCGTCCGACATCCTCATGATATTAGCTTTATGTACAGCGGTAACCTACAAGTCGATTTTAGTCAGCGTCATTAGATACGACATTAATTCAAATACGAAGGTCAACATCTCCACGTACTTTCTTTCTATTGTTGTCCGTGGCATATTGGAAAGCAAATTCTGCTACTCTGCGAGAGGCCTCCTCCGTGATCAACTTGATCGATTGTACGACGCCTTCTACGATCTCGTGCTCTATACCCGAGTATTCACCTTCCGTATTTTCTCTGATAGTGACGACGTCAACATTATCGTACAGCGTCTTGTACCCCTCCAAGGATAGGCATGGTCGTACATTGGCGTACAAATTAAATTCCCTGTAAATATTTGCCAACGTTTAGGCGGAGCGAGACGCATGTATGTTGCCTGGCGAGGGAAGCAGCGTAAAAGCAAAGGAGCGCTCGCCCGGGCTTATCGTCACAACTATGGTTATGTTATGTTATGTAAGCATGCGTTACTTTAGACAGCTGCGCTGTTGTACAAATTTATCTCGCGGAATTAATGGAAATTACGCTTGACTGCACATGATTCCAAGATGCTTACTTTCTCAGCGCAAGATTGAGTGATCTGTGACCTTTCCCAATTGGAGTCATGAGCGGTCCCTTAAGACCGATTTTATTCCTATTGACAGAATCGATGGCCGCTTGTGGTATACCAAACCTGCCATCCGGACCCTTTACCGGTGTTACATCGACTGATTCCCATTCTATCGGCACCTGGTTTTTTTCAGATAAATTGAGAAAACAATGTCGTAAAAGATAAAAAGAAGTCTTAAAAGTTGAAATAACTTTACCGATGGATTCCAGATAGTAAAACCAAGACAAGAATAAACGTTTGTCCTATCTTATCTCGTTTCCAAGTTACATCCGTGTTTGTATCAGTTGTTTGCTTGTCTTTACAGAAACTGCTCCAAGTGACTACTTTCGACTCGAAAACAAACCTCTAGACATCTTACAATTGACCTTCTGATCCTTTCAAAATTATCGTACATCATCTATCAAATATCTATCGAAAGATAGAAACGGTTGTGCGACTCGGAAACAGGATGAGATAGGACAGACGTTTGTATGGACACTTTTTCTTCTTTAGTATCCAGAACTCACCAGTCCAAGTTATACCCACATGTTCTATGTAATATTCACACATCAATGTATTTATACCAAGGACGCGTCCAGATAAGAATATCAAATGTGCACACTATTAAAACAGATATTATGAATTGGGTAATGGTATTACGCAATTTAAGCCTTCTGATTATCGTAAGCTAACCACTAGTGAAGAAAGCTGTTTTTAACCAATAGAAAGAAATGTCTCCTCTTCCAACTCTGTATACAACTTAAATGAAAGAAAACAAAGTAACATGTAATTAGTCATTCTGAATATTCCAGTTACAGTGACAAAAGATTAATTGCCCCAGGTTAGGGTTAGGTTAGACTATACATGGTGACAAAAAATTTGTTAATAATTTTTCATTCATTGAAAAACTAGAAAAATACATTCAATTAGTTTACTATTGACTCGACTTGTACAAGAATGGGGGGGGGGGGGGGGTAGAAGAAAAGCGTTGAAACAAGTCGGAGGACCTTGCAGGATGCGATTATTCGAGAAGTGCATGGTGGCAACTAGAAAAAGTCGGTTAATCTTATCGCGTTAAGTGAACGGCACGCGATACTATTGTTCCCAATGAATCGCTTGTGGGAGCCAATCAGGATTTAGCTTGAAGTCACTTGATCTGAAACTCTGCATATTTATTGGTTCTCGTAAGCGATCCAGAGTAGGAAAATGGTATCGCGTGCCGTAAGCCTGAGCCAAAACGCGAGTGTATCTCACCTTGGCAGCGTCGAAGATCTTTTGCACGGCAGCGGAGATTTCGGGTCCGATACCATCCCCGGGAATGAGGGTGCATTTGTGTACCTTGCTGCTGTAGAGTCGCGCACCGGTGATTCTCGAAGAGATCTATTGGCATCGACATACGGTTTAGAAAGACGATCGGACTATCCGTGCCACGGTGTACGAAACTCGGCGTCCACGATCATCTTTAAGACGCAAGATTTCAGAAAATGGTCAATTCTCGCATTCAATTGTGACATAAGTCACTCTCTTCAATCTTACGTCTGAAAAATTCCACTGTAGACGCCGACCTGACCACCGCGGAGACAATTTCGAAACGACTCGAAACGAAATTACACCAATTAGAATATCCGGTTTCCCACCGCGGAGAAGGTCGTAAAGACGGAAAACGGGCAGCCGGACGGAATTAGAACATTAGACTATATCGCGGAGAAACAACGACGAAGATAGACGCGTGGAAAGAGAGAGAGAGGGTAGTAGACGTAACGGAGACGTAAGAGGGCGAGATGGAGAATGGTACGTTCGAGACGTGATCCTCGAGGAGTTCTAACCTTGCTCGGGGATAGGACGTAGAGGCGGGCGGGGTAATTGGGCAGTGTGACGACAGTTCTCCTTGGGTAATTTCGCGGACGGCGCGATACGACGCCTACTTACTGCTGTGCGAATCCACTGAGCTGCCATCGTGCCGACGGTGTTGGTTACAAGCGGAGAAACGTTCGCTCGCGCTCGCTCGCGACTTGCTCCGTTTCTGTTCGCGCGGAGCTCGCGTCGAGCAGCAGGAAGCAGTGTTGTTAGGAGAGTTGCTTTCTCGCGCATGCGCATTCAAGTGTAGCATCAGTGCGGTATCAAATTAGAATTTGTATGGGTCCTGCAGGAACTCTATTTTGATGCTTCTACAGGAGTTGCGTCAAAATCTTTAAGAGGTAAACAAGTCGTTCCATATTTCTGCAATATGGATCCAAATGTTGCTAAAAGAATCAGTAAAAAAACACAAGAAGCATGAAACTGCTGCTTGAACGCGCATGCGTCAGAAAGCGACTCTCCCAAGCACCGTGTCGACGATCTGTCCTTTATAGCACAACTGTCTGCACTAGTTGAGAGTTAATCTCTTTCTCCATCCACGTTGAAATGAGAAAGATTCTGATTTAGTGCAGTTGGTGCAACTGTAAAGAACAGATGTAATGATTGGCCGAGCACAAGCGCGCGGTACTTGGATCGTTTTGGTTGCAACGACGGATACCTTGCTATTCACGCACGGTACACATGAGGCGACGGAAATGGCCCGTCCATCCGGTTCACATGTTATAATAAAGCAAGGTATAATTTTCCTACCACGAATAGATAAGGAAAGTGACAGCATCCTCGAGAAATTAACATAAGATTACGCTTTGCAATTTTCAAAAGTGCTATAGATTTGTCACGAAATGCTTTTAAATCAGAATAGGTAATGGTAAATCGTTACGTCATTCGGTTTTCGTTGCATTTGCCTGAAGAATACTATCAAATTGATCATCTAAATGTCGTAGAATTGTATTTCTTAAATATTAAACGCATATAAGGATTTAATATTTTATATAAACGTCAAGTATATGTATAATGGAATTTTCATGTAGGTGGCGAATTTTTAGACTTGTCAATCTTCTCCGTGTTCTTGTGACCTTTTTGTTTCAATTCCCACAAGCTATTTCTCACAAATTTCCTGGCGGCATCTTTGTTGATACGTGGCATAAGTATATTCTTATCACTGATTTGTTTCGCTCGTACCATTGATCTCTTCAATCTCTCGTTTTCTGCTCTGATTCGGTGCTTCGATGGATCGATCCCTATACGTACATTCGCAAAAATTAATTAGCGAGGAGCACACACTTATGCGTAAGTGCATAAGTATATGCATAACAAATTTGATTGCAAATGCATAAGGAAATTGACCAATCAAATTCGTTATTTGGAAAATTCTAATTATCACGTACCTTCGGCTCTCAAGTACATCCAGAACAAACTATTGAGACTGTAGGATAACAGCAAGTTATATTTAACTTTATCTGCATTGGAAAGCTTATCGAATAGCGAAGGATTGTTGGCCAATTCAACCATATCCTGAATTTTGAAAGCTGCCTCGCTGAACTGCTTCAGTCTGGCAATTATATTCGCGTCGTGCGAAAGTTCTTCAAATCCATCACCCATGTTTTTCTCGTCAATTTATCAATATAAAACGTTCAAGTTGTTCTTTTTCTTGTTTCGATATTATTTCTCGAGTAACTTTCTGTCCTTCCGCGTTTCACACCCAACGATACATAACCTCAATATTTCCCAATCTTACTAGTCTTCGCTTCGTCGGTGCTAAAATAGACACAATAATATTTTTCGTCAATTACTATCTTCATATTCAATATTTCCTAATATAAATATCCTTTCGTTCATTGATGCATGATATCACTATTTTTCTCAATCGTCGAACCTTTCACCTGACTTTCACGCGCTGCATTCTCGAGTTCTTGGGTCTGTTCTTTTTAGTTCAACTGGTGCAGCAAGTTCGGCTAAAAAGAACACATACCTTTGGTCTGTTCAGATAAATCCCACTTGTGACGTCATAACTCAGTTGAATGCACATGTTCCTTTTGATTTTTGAGAAGTGAGATTCAACCAGATTTAACTGAGTTTTTGCACACGATCACACATACTGAGTCACTCAGTATCACTTGAGTGCAAAAGGAAAGCAGCTGATATGACCTAAGGCTTGTTTTCTGTTTATTGCCGAAATAAATTAGAGTAGAACAAGCATATTTTGTCTCATTCTAGCTTACTGCACTAGTTGACCAGTGCAGGAACAGAAAACAAACCTCTACAGTAAACCTATAGTAATGGTTAGACAAAAATTAAGGAATTTTTAGAAATATCACGCTGATGTATCCTAACGATTGAAAGGCGTTTCCATAAAAGGGTAAGTTTAAAAAAAAAGCTAGACAAAAATCTCTAACATACGTAACTTTTAGGCTAGTATTATATTTGTCGTACGACAAATTTCTTAAGCGTGTTGATCGGTTACAAGCTAGAAAATTTCCAGCGACTCGACAACTTTTCTATTCTGTAGGCAAGCAACGCGCTTGAATGTCGTACGACAAATGTAATAGACCAGCCTCGCGCAGTAATTAATTCATTAAACTGAAATATATGTATATATGAAACATTTTTGCAACACGTTTGTATTGTTGTATAAACGACTAAATTATTTTAATCAGTTTTGATTAAATTATTTAAACTGGGAGGTTTTTAGTCGACATTAAATTTATTGCGAAAAATACCTCAGCCAGAGTTTGAATCTGGACTTTGCAATAAATTTTCTGTATCAAAACACTGGCCGGTTAATGTCGACTAAAAAGCTTGATTATTGTTACCTATTACTGGCAACTTAAAGAGATCTCCATGCTTTAATAATTTATCGTTATCAAACCATGAGCGATACTCATTTCTCGCATTATCTCTTTATATAAAATCATCTTTCGGGCAATAAAGAGCATAGTAATAATGGAGAGAAATTGACATTTTATATTATACAAGATAAATTTATTTCCTAATAAACAACGGTTAAAGTTGCATATAAAAATCGCACCGCAAGAAATTATACATCACAGAATTGAGGTGCGATCGTTCTATGTAGACTAGGAATCACCGATGCCTTCCCATATGAATTTAGGCATAGGTAAACACATATACATTTTCCATGTATGTATATTGAAAATGTATAAACGTGTTAATTGTGCCTAAATTCATATGGGAAGGCATCGGTAATTTCTAGTGTGCATGCACGCGTTTACACGATCATGGCGTTGCACGAATTAGGCGGGCGGAGATCAAAACGAACGTATTCTTCCCTTCCGCCCCTATTCCACGATTCTTCGAGGTTTAAATTTAGCACCCATCGTTCCCTCGTCCCCACGAATGTTTGGGCGGATAAATTCAATGGCGTATACTGAAGGCGCCGTATAACGGCAACGATGATACAAAGTACATAAATCTTTCAAAAAATCTCTACAATTCAAATCGAACTCTCTTGTTATTCAGCGACAGGATTTTCAATTCAATGTTATCCTAGGATGAGAATATCGAGTTCTAGGGGACTTTGGCACGCGATCTTACTTATAAATTTGAGAAAAAGCAAGGCCATTAAGTTTACGTATAAATGTTGTGTTACAAGTATAAGACGAAATAGAATTGAAAACCGCGCGTTTATATAATGAACAATTATCCAACTAATGTGCGGTACTAAATCAAAATGCTAAATAACTTGGAACGGATGATTTTACGCTTAAAAATTACACGTGAGAAAAAATTGGCAAATACGAGGATACGCAACATTTATATCGCTTCTACGAGCGATATTTGTAGCCCGAGCTTACATTTCTCCTAGTAGCACAATATATTAACAGGGAGAGACAGGGAAAGACATCCGCAATATTGGGAAATAATGTAAATCTAGTATTCCCAATATTGGACCAATGTTTAGCCAATGCACTGTGCTACTAGAGTCTGGTCATATCGAAGATATATAAGGATAAGATTGCGAAGCGTTGGCACGACGCAACCGTCGCTCAGACTTGTGTCTCGCTACCGGAATGATAATACTTTCGGTGTTTCCGATGCTTCTTATGGTTTCTATGTGACATTTGCGAATTGGCGATAGTTGCGTGCTGATGCAAGAGAGGATGCTGCGGCGGCGTGAGATGAGCGAGATGATGAATCTGATGAGGTATGGGGCTGCCGGCGGTGGCAGCGTTGTAACAGTGCACGACGGGCACCGGATGGCACTTGTGCGGCGGTTGCTTGCAGTGAGGCAGCTTGCGGCAGGCGCTCGTTACTTCCGGCCACCAGATCCACGCAGCGGCCACGACGCCGGCACCGAGGCTCACCACCAGTCGCAGGACAAACAACTGCAGGAGAGGCCGGGCGGGTACGCGCGGCGCCGTCGACGGTTCCGGCGCTCGGAGCCACGTCTCCCTGCCCCACCACTCGTAGAAGGTTGTGCTGGCGAGGCAAATTATCAGGGTGGCGTAGAGACAGGCGAATATGCCGACGCGAGTCAGCAGCTGCTTCTGCCGCCGGTGCATCTCAGCCGGGCTCGACTTGCCGGGGATCTCGCGCTGCGGGCGCATCAGCGGATTCGCCTGGGACGCCGTTAGCGCCGTTAAAACCGCCGCAGCCGCCGCCGCCGCCGCTGTCGACGAGGACGAGGACGTCGACGTCGACGTCGACGTCGCCGTCGCCATTGCCGTCGCCGTGGACGTCGGTGTCACTGCCGGGCGCCGTGGTAACACCAACGTCGCTAGGCCAACCAAAAGAAACGTTGCGCCGAACGACAGGTAGACGAATTGCGGGGCCAACACTAATACCAGCAAGGAATGCGCGTTCTGCTGGCCGACGAAACAACTTGCTGCAACAGAAAACAAACATATATTACAAATCAAAATTCCAATTGTTGTTTCCTTGCACAAAACGTTTCTTTTTAGGTAAATTAAAGCATAGTCTACAATGTGCTCTCTGCGTCTAGAAACATTCTATTTTATATAAACAAATAAAAAAATTGGCCAACAATGTACGATATACAACGTATAATATATTATACAATTTATCAACTTGCACAAATTTTTTTTACGTATTTATTGGCTGCAAAATAAAATGTTTCTAGACGCAGAGAACACATTGTAGATTAGGCTTAGAGATATGAGTTTTATTCGAGAGAGAAGATTGCGTTATACACGTTTGTTTGTGTGTGCGTGTTTGTGAGAGACTATTATAGTAACAGAAGGAACTGAACAAGGAACAAAAATTTCTTATGCGCACGCAATGGCTCCAAGTAGCTTTCGGTCCTATCGATGGACAGTGACAAGTTGCAAGGCGAGTTTGAAGGTATTTGCATTGAATGTTGCCCGCTAAAAGGGAGACAGAGGAAGGAACTCGACTAACCGGGCTCGTTTCTTTATATGTACGCGCGGATGACTCTGTAACTTTTCGAAATACAGTCAGCAAATTGACTCGGTTGCGTGTTACGACGAGAGTACGTGGAAATATTCCACAAACAAATGTGCCAACGTTCGTATCGCACATTTCTCGCACATTTCTTGCACTCGTTAAGTAACTTCCCAGATAACAATTCTTGCGCGCAAATTTTTCTCGTCTTATGCATGCAAACTCGCACGAGATTTGCCCAAGTTTTGCTCTTGAGATATGTTTAGTCTGTGCTTTTGCATGCAAGTGGTTAGCTCATGTGTTAACGTATAATTTTGCGCGCAAAAACAACTCTTGTACAAAAATGGCTCCACAACGCAAGCAAAATCCTATCCCAGTGCGTCTTTGTAATAGGCAATTTTTGGCGAATGTTTGGCACATGTACCAAACAGTCGCCAAAAATCGCCTAATGCTAGGTGTTTTTCCAAAGACATTCGATGTCCAATCGCTCGCGACATAATTACAATGCGCGCGCAAGGGAAAGAACACGAGCGTGAGGAATCTCGGACCTACTTCTCGCGTGCCGGGAAAATATTTATTTCGCGAGGGAGAATCCAACGTGGCGGCAGGTCCAACATACCAACGGTGGAGCGCATCGCTGACATTCCTTCCGCGATCCGCGAATCAACTGAATCGACCCAATTTCATTCTTTTCTCTGCTGCCCACGGTCGAAACGTACTCGTGCGATCGTGGTGAGGGACGCGCGTCGAGCGCGAAACGACCGTGAGAAATTTCGCTTAAAATGAGTTTAGTGAGTACTTGAAAAGAAAAAAAGTTCATTCTCACGATGTGCCGCATTTATTTCTATTACCCGCGCGCACGTATTTACATATCCAAGAGTGAATATAATGATTACGCGAATAATCGAAGGTTGTATCGCTACGCTCCGAACCCGGTCGTTTAATTCAAAGATGCTAATCTCGGCTGGTCGTTCCCGAGCATAACTTATCGGGAACATAAACACGAGAGAGAGAGAGAGAGAGACAGAGAGGGAGGGAGGTGCGTATTAGCATAAAATAGCCTCAACTGGACAACTCGAATTGAGACGGATGGAGGGATGGTGGCAAGGACAGATAAAGATAGGCGAGTGGGGATCTGTGATGACGAAGGAAAGAAAAAAAAAAGCAGAGAGACGGTTGTCCAAGACTAGGAGAGGGAGCAAGGATCCCAAGATCCAACTACGCCAATGGCGCAACCTCATAAAACAAACGGTATAACGAGGCGTAGCCGTAAAACTGCGCTGCGGGCATTCTTCTTGGAGGCTGACCAAGGCGAGTTTTAACATCTTTCAGCCTATTGGGCCCCTGCATCAGTCGTCAGCGCGGACAAAGACGAGCCTCGCTCGTCGTGCGATTTGGCAATATTGTCCGCGAGGTGTGCAACTAGATCTAACAGGACCTACCGGTCAACTCGTCGGCGTCGACGTCCCTCGTGACCAGAACGGCGATAGTGTGCGCGGCGGGGAGGCCCCAGGCCGCGACAGCGGCGACGGTTGAGAATCCCTGTTGCGGTCCGACCAAACTATCCTCCTTGTAGTTGCCGGCCGTCCTCGTCCTCGTCCATTTTCTGGCCATTATGCACCACCAGGCGCATATCACGACCCACCTGCGGTCCAAATCGCATCGAATAGCACTTGATTAGCGGCTAGTTATAGCAACGTTTCGTTGGTTGCATCAGATTGGACTGTACGATTTTCAACATTGAAACATATCGAAAATACGTCGAGATGTAACGAGACGCAGAGTCTGTCCAGTGGAGCGTTCGATCACGTTCCAAGGGCGATTCTTGGAATCGATTGTACGGCCCTGCGAGTTTGCAGGTCGAATAAATAAAGGAGGAAGGGAACGAGAGGAGTCGCGCGAGAGGGCAAGCAGGCGGTAGAAGGCGCGCGAGAGCGAGAACGAGATGGAGCGACGCGAGGCGGCCGTGTAAGTGTTTGCGCCTCGTTTGCGACCTGTTCGCGCTGCTTTTCGATCTTGTCCAAGAGAGAGGGAGAGACTCGCGTGATTAATTAGTCGGCTTTTCACCGCAACCGCTCTCTCGGCCAACTGGTTGCCGGGGAGAACGGATTATAGGCGGCGCCGTACGGTGCATAGGCAGTTGCACGTGCGTGCGCTGCTACGAGGAGGGCGAAGAAAGGACGAAGAAAGGTTCCGTCTCTCACGCGAGACCAGACCAGCGCCGCGCACCGCTGTGGACCATTGTTCGTTCCAGGCACCGAAACGGTTCTCAGCGAGTCGCGGGTCGAGATCGAGAACTCCATTTCGTTCGCAAACGTAATCCTGCCATTTGAAATTCAGATGAGACGCTTTTTTCATTTCAGTACCATTGCTAGTAACAAATGACGGAAAACGTAATATGACAAAACAAAATGTGTCTATTTATAAAGAATAAATTTCCTTTACGTTGAATCTCGTAGCGGCTACCGAAAATCTCGTCTCTCCTGTGGCAGCCAACCTGCTCGAGTGTTTGCCGCCGCTAGTATTTACCGAGGGAACAACGGTAGCCGTGTCTCTTGGCGCGCATCTACACGATCCACAGATCACCCGCCAACCGACCCACCAACCTGCCTGCCAACAGGTAGCCCTCGCACTTTTGCCGTAACACGTTGGACGATGTGAATAACCAAGACTAACCGCTCGTCTTTCTGTATAAATATATTTTCCAGGTATTTCGTAAGAGAGCGGATTCGTGCCGAGCGTGAGAGGTTTCGAACGAACGTTGAACTTGACATCTCCATCGAAGGATTCGTCGCAGGGCAGCCGAGTCTGAAATTGTGGAACGAAGGGGTTGGATTAGCGCGACCGAACGAGGGGATTTGGCAGATTCGCTAATTCCCCTCCGAATTTATCGCGTTGGAAAAGCAAAAACTCGCCCAACGAATTCCGGTCGCGCGGTGATGAATGGAGCGATGCGACGCGCACGACGCGATTACCCTCGTGGAACGTCGATAAAAAGAGCAAGAAAAAAAATCCCAAAGGGACGTTCACACCTTGGGGGATGCGATCGCTTCTCTTCGCAAACCACGGACGGCACCGAATCAAATGAGAGTTTAGGCGTTTAGCGGGAATTAGCGAAAAAAAAGAGGAAGAAGAAGAAAAGGATGAATTTGCTTGGCGTTTTCGACACCAAGCGACATGAATCGACACAGGCACGATTAATAAGGAGTAACGAGCTCGATCTCGTCAAGGTATGCGTAATAAGGCCGATTAGTCGTGGCACGAGATTCTTCTCTCTCCTCGTGACCGCTGCTACACGGCTGGGTGGTCGACCACTCGCAGTTTCCGTGCAACTCGGACTCTGATGCGGGAGGAGGGCAAAGAGGAGAGAGACTACCTAACGACTCGCTAACTAACAAAACAAACAAGAGGTAGCTAGTGCCCCTCTCATCTCATCTCGCTGATTATATACCCCGCGGGATCCCTGTACACGACGATGCTGCTCTGCCCCCCCCCCCTCTCTCTCTCTCTCTCTCTCTCTCTCTCTCTCTCTCTCTCTCTCTCTCTCGCGTGCGTTTCTTTCCGTTCCCACTCCACTTGGTCTCCGTCTTTTATCCTTCCTCTTCGATCTTCTCTGTCTGTCGGTCTTCTCTCGCGATCAATTCGCGAAAGGTTGACGCCGATGGACGCGACTTACGTCGAAAAAGATGGGGAAAAGTCTGTCGAGACTTTAGTCGATTTATAATTTGCAACAAAGTTTTACTTAATTTCACATGCCGTGTAGTAAACGCTGTACTAGGCAACGTAAGATTGGGTCTTGCCTACTGACTTTTGATTCGAATTACAGATCGTCCAAAGTAAAGTAAGCTTTACGATATATCAGTGTCGTATTTGTGTCATGCGAGACTGGGCTTGTTCCGTCTTGTTCGAAACGAACGAACGCGTTAGATAACGCTGGGGACTCGTTATCGGGGCCGCTCGTCCCGATGGCGTTTCCCACCGACGCGTAGTCGTCGACGGAGCTCTTATCTCGGTTAAATTATCGAGAAATTCCTGGATCCGGGTCCTTAAGCTTAAGGCCCGGGCTGGGCACCGAGAGAGAGATGATGGATCAGCTCTTTCCTCGAGCCCTTCTTTCGACTCGTCCTTTTTCCCCTCGTTCCTGAGACGGCCGTCAAACCCTTGGAATGGACGGAGGGGAATGGAGGAGAGGAACGAAGGAGGGAGAGAAAAGAGAGAAACGGAAACACGAAACTGCCGGATTACCTACCACCATGGGGCCGTACGATCCTCTCTGTCAATGGCGTAGCACCGCCGATTATCGATTCGATTCTTTGTAGACAGCAGATTCTAATGGAGACTGACTCGTCTCTTGTATTTGTAAATTTCGCATTTTTCAACTTGAGAATCTGTAAATTTGTGTGTAGGTGTATCTTCATTTCTTCATTTTAAACAAGCAACATCTCGATAGAATTGTCACGACGAAAAGAGACATAAAAAATTTAACAGCTAGACGATTACTATGTTATATCCAAGATATTAAGTAATCCATGAATGGTCGCGCGACTCTAACAAAAATAGCAGGAAATTTAAGGATTTTACGAGAGCGAATTGTAATAACTTATGTCTCTTATCCACTGGAGATCTCGTCTCTAAAACTCGTCGGTTTTCGCGTAAACTTGACACATGTTGCGAGAATAACGCGAAGAGGGATGTGGTGGAAGATGAGAGAGAGGACAATGCGTGGCTAGGACTGCAAAGCCCTTTGGGTCCACGGCCCTATGGTGCACGGCTTCGTGGTTTCGTGTCCGTAGGGCGCGATGTTTATCGGCTCTTTCGATGTAAATTATGGCCATACGCTATAGAGTTCGCTACACCAAGGCGCGCGCAAAAGTATTCGGGCTCCGAGTTCAGGGTCGGATCTTCGCGATGGGTCTTAACCGTACAGACTTCTTATTTAAAACTTGACGCTTCTCAATGAGCCCTTCTCGAGTCCGAAAGTGAATTGCAAAGTGAATAAACTACATGGACTTGAAATAAATAAAAATGGAGAAACGCATCCAAGTATTTCTCAAGACTTGTACGGTTGGATTTACAATTAAATGTTTAAATAAATATGAAACTCGATTTGCAAGGCGATCGATTTTGCAAAACTCGTTTGCACAATCACAACCGCAAATTGTATTCATACATTGTGAGTCATCTTGTTTTTCGGTTCGAAGCGTCGTTTCGCCCATCTCCTTCACCTTCCCGTCTCTCTTTCTCTCTTTCTCGTTCTGCTTTTCTCGCACTTTCTCTCTCCTTCTCGAGCAACTTGCTTTCTCTAAGATGGAATGCCATTGACTCCATGCATATCTGGCAACAAGGTTCCTCTCGACCCACCTCATATACCGGGTGATCCTCGAGTGATCGGAGGGTGATCAGAGACTGACAACAAGATTTCGAAATATGCGAGTGAAAATCTCAAGATTAAGCAGGTGGCGTAGTAATTGAGAGAGTGAAAAATGATTTCAAGACTCTGAAGATGAGTAGATGTCGAAACAACTTGTTGAAAACAAGATTCGAAAGATAAGCGTTTACAAAGTTCTCCCTTGGTAGCGCGAACGGAATTAAAATCCTAAAGTCGCGACATCTCTTTTTGTGGGTGTCGCAAGATCTTGTAGTCTAAATCTGAATGGTATATCGCGTTAAAAATATATTTTCCACAAGGCACGGTAAAATGTAAGTCTGTTTTCTATTTTTAAGCGACAATAACGTGGTTGAATCATCGGAACAAATACGGGCGAACGGACTATTTTTTGCTCGCGCCACCCGTTAGACGCGTTAAGATGAGCCTCTCAGTATAAACGGGATGAGATGGGATGGGACGAGATGGGAGTCAGAGGCTCGTTAGCGGCACGAGGGGAGTCAACACTGTTGCCAGATTGTTATCCCTACTTGGGACGATGCAGTCTCGCTGCGGCCGCAGCGAGGCGAGTGCAACAAGGCGCTCTGCAACACCCGACAACTTTGAAACATGTTACGCGAGTATCATCTGATCCTCGCACCTGTGCGTAATTAAAATCTAGTAAAAGCTGTTGAGATTCTCTTGTCGTCAAACGAAAGTGGATCTACGCCAAAATATACCCCAACGCATTCTGCATTGTTTACAAGCATATGATAAAAAGAACGAAAAGAGAGACGTAGCCCAGACGGAGAGTTTACGATCGTTGATCATTTTGAAAGGAAACCAACCATGTGCCAACTTACCAAACGATCGCTGCGTTTCCAAAGTAATAGAGTAGCAAGAAAACGACGGCGCAATAGGGATTGGCTAGACCGTCTTGCGTTAGGTACTGTTGCTGTTGTTGCTGCTGGGCCAAGACGGCTTGATCCTGCGGATGTAACGGCATCGCGGGAGTGCAGGCGACGTTTAGCCGGCCGGCAGCCAATCGAATCACGTAGCCAATTGCGACTGCCGCGTGACAGATCGTCAAGAAGACTATCGCGCGCTCTGCAAGCCAATATATTACCTTTGCCATTTTTCTAGATTGCCAATTTCAACTTTCATCTTACGTGGATTCTTACCTGCGGTAGTGGTGAGTATAGGCCGTTTACGCGGTTTTAAAAGTGTCAGGATAGCGATCGCGACGGAGACTAGGCATACCGTTGCGAATACGGCCATCCAGGCCTCCGCGAGCTTCTTGTCCTTCTGAGACCAGAGGATATCGGCGTCGCACGCGGCGGCGCATCTTCCAGAGCGATTCAGGAAGATGTACAGTCCGGACTTTGCGTACCAGGAGCAGCCCCAAGGCCCGTTGCTGGTGCTCACCGCCTGGATAGACCGAGCGACAATTTTGTTAATCATCGTATTTCGTCGGCTGAACCGTCGCTAAAGTACCTGGATAGGATTAGCCGGTCCCGGCTCGCCCGGTCCTTCCATGCACATGTGCTGGTGATTGTTTTCCGGCGGAAACTTGGAGCAGTTTAGCGCGGCGGGCCAGGGAAATCCGAATCCCTGAAGAACCGGGAAACAGCGAGCCCGCACTTGCTCGCACAAACCTCGACAAGGGCCAATAGGCGCGGAGACTTTCTCGGTACACATCGGGGCGTACACCGAACACAAAAACAGATGCAGTTGCGCGCTGAAGCAGGTTACAAGATGCACAAATTATTCAAACATGTTATGTATTATTAACAAATATCTCTCATACAACCCATACAGCACAAACTTGCAGTCCCTAGTAGCACAGTGCATTGGCTAATGTCGGTTATATTACAAGGGCATTCGGTTTTTCCGTATCTCTCATATTTTTTCCAGATATTTGCGTGGATCATTTAAAATGAGACACCCTGTATAATATTACATTTATATTGGAAGCGCATTGGCCGCAAATAACAATGGCTGCAGTGCAACTGCAAGTTTTGCGCTGTATGGGGAAAAACACGTGTACGTAAGACAGTTGCTTGTATACATCGCTTGCGGAAAAGAGTCGCCCTGTCTATTTGTTAAGAAAGCAATTTTACCTGCACCCGTATTGAATGAGCGGGCTGAAGGTTTGTAGAGTAAAATCGGCATCGCCTTGAATCTCGTGACCAACTAGATTCGGCATGACCGTGACATTGTAGCCGAGGCCACGGCACATCTCGATCCTGATCGGCTCGCAAGCGCCGTGCGCGCACCATATCGCACGCACCAACGTCAACAGCGGCAGCAAGATCCAACGCATTTTCCAAATCGCAGTCATAAATGCTGATCGTTACGTGAAATTTTCAGTCGCGTATACCACTCGCCGTCGATCGATCGACGCGCTGGAATGTCGATCGTGCATCATGCGAAAATTTCAATTAGAGACTCTAAAAAAACACACACAAGACATGAGATTAATATTTTTAAGTATAAGAGCCAAGACGGGAGATGTTGGTGTCTAAATAGTTTTAATTTTAAGTCTATTGTAAAAAATAAAACCTCAGTTAGAGCCTTATGAATTTTATTAATTGTTTATAAACAAAGATTTTTATGACTTTGATAGTCACTAGCTTAAAGTACAGAGGCATGTCGAGAAAGATGAAAAGCAATCGCCAGTTGATGAGGAGACACGTCTTTTCGATTAAGAAAAAGGTTTGCTCGTGTCGCTTGCTGCAGTCTTCTTTCTCTCCAGCGGCCAGTGTACGTTTATCTATTTTTGAAGCGCGGCAACTTTTAGAGATTTCAAGCAACACGAAGGAGCCTAGAGATTTAACGTCTATTTAACTCGACTCACTTTTTCGGCCATAATTACGGTCCTGTCAGCTTCATTTAAAGAGCTGTCAAATTCAATCTTGGCTTAACGAGTAGTTTAATTAACTTGCTTGCGCCTTGAACGGGATCAATTTAACCGGGCTTTTTCTTTTTCTCCAGTGTAGCTTCGGTCTTGGTTTCAATTAAATCAGGCCGCAACAACCGACGATCAGATTTCAACGCGACTCGGTCAACAACTTTTACACACTTCAAGTTACTAATTTAATGAAAAAGAGACAAACTCTGCTTTACACTCGTACGCGACACGAAACGGATCTCGGTTTTTCCCCGGGAGAACAACAGTTCGCGAACCATTTACGCGGGCACATGCGCGCGCGCGCGCACGCACGCGCGCACGTACGCACGCGCACAGCAACGATCGATATAACGATCAACGATCGACGATTCAGCGTGAGACTCGCGTGCTGAAGACGCGGGAGCGCGATTTCGAGCGCAAGTGTAGGAGCGCGAGCGGAGCGATCACAAAGGCGGTCGCATCGTAATCGGCTCGCGTTCTCACGTTAGAAATGTCACGTGCCGGCCAATCACGGGAGGCGATCGCGCGTGCTACGGCGATCCATCGCGTTTAACGCGAGCTAACCGCGGAATTAATGGCCCGACCGAGCGCGCTCCGTCCTCGCCCGCTCAAGCTTTCCGTGCGACTAACGCTGAAAACGCTCGCTCGCTCGCTCAGACGCCCACGGATCGCGCCCTAGCGTGACGTCTGTTTATCCCTCCCCTCCACCCTTTCTTCGCTTGTTCGCTTCTTTACAGGGCCTTCTGCGGGCCTCCCCTCTTCGCCGCGCCGGCAGGGATTTCCGTCGTGCTCTTTCACGTTCGTACGCACCTTCTCCGCGTGGCGATCGAGTCGGTCCATCGCTTTTCTCATTACTCCGCCTTCGGAGTATACGATACGCGCTATTATTTTCACGTGTAACCAGTTTACATGTAAACATAGAAATCTTTCCAAGTTGCCAGTAATAAATAACTATTCGAGCGTTTTAGTCGACGTTAACCGGCCAATGTTTTAATACAGAAAATTTGTCGCGAAAAATATTACCTCGGCCAAAATGCGTCCGGCGAGTTGAAAGTTTAAATTAGCGCGAGAGGAGAAGCTTCTCCCGTTTCAGCAGCTGCATGCTACACCTACGACCTTACACGAGATCCGTCAAGGGTAGATTAGGAGGGAGAGAGGAGCAGCGCGGTCACGTTCTCATTATCATATCCCGATGTTTGGCAGCAGTTAAGGCTGCCTTTACGGGCTGTATTTTCTTGGTATAATTGGACCCCCCCCCCCCCCCTCTCTCTCTCTCGTATTCTCTTTTCCATCTCGTTCCCTCGCGCTTCCTTCTCGTTTAGAGACTCGATATTTAGAGGTGACTGCCTTCCCTGTTTCTCCCTCGCTCCCTCGCTGGATGAAAAGTTTACTAGTGCAAACAGCATAAGAAATAACATGGTGGACAATCACGCTTCTTTATTCGAAAACTACAGCTACTCTCGAAATTGCATCTCGACCATCGGGATCAATTCTGTATCTTACAGTATAATGAAGATGCTAAAAGTGAGCGACTTTGTCTCTTTCCAAGTCCCTAAACTTGCTATCTTTTTCATCTTATTATTTAAGAAGAGACAGAGAATCAATGAACCTTCGGTTAGCAGTTAACCGATGTTTGTGAAACTGGTCCTAAGGGTTTTTTAAAATTTCTCCCTCTGCGGGAAGTCTCTTTCTAAGGAGACAGTCAGAAAGAGACGAAGCTATATTATAGCGGAAGATACAGAATGGACCCTCTCGGATCGCGATACTGTCAGAATGTTAAAAGAGAAGATCCTCATCCGTGTCGTCATCGAGTATGTTGGCTGTCCGAGAGGAATCGCAAGTGCGTCGCTTCATCTTCGTCTTCCTCTCCCTTATCTTCTTAAGGCGATAAAATTCCTCTCGCTCGTACTCGTCGAGCTCGGTGACAATGTAGGCGATGGTCCGTTCCAACCGAGGTATAATGATGTGCCGAAGAGCGTTTACTCGACGTCTCGTCACCTTGATCGCCCGGTCGAGGATCCGGAAGTTGCGCTGCAACGACGCCAATTCGACCAGCAGATCGATCGCCTTCCCGTAATTTACCCTCAATCTAGCCACCTGCTGACACGTATCGAGCGAATTACCGGCAGCGATGTTTACAGCTGATAACGTTAAAGCGGTTCGCGCGTTTCTCGTGCGGCGAACAACATATGGCGCGTGGTGTAATCACTTGTTGACCGCCTCTGGCTAATCCAGCAAATTCGAAGGGATCGGCGCCACTGCGGAAGGGCTCGTAGATCCATAGTCGAATCCCACCGATCATCTCCTGTCTGGATTGGATCTTGGTTTTCGCCTTGTCGACCGTCTGCAGGACCAGCTCGTTTATCCCACCTGTCGCGTAATTGACTTGGACCAACGAGAAGGCCGCGTCCCTCATAACTTGGCCGAGTTGCGATTTGCTCTCGAGTAACCGCGACGTAATCGCGCGAAATCGGATTAAAAGTCCATCGACCCTTTTCGCGAGCAAATCGCGACCCCTGCGTGCGCAGACCAAACGGCATTTCACATTCGTGTACGAACTGGATGTCGGGAAAACCGCTAGTCTGTCCACAATCTCCATCGTGGGTTTTATCAATTTCTTTTCACGACGGAACTATCGATCGTTGCGATTTTCAATTTTATTCGGATGCTGTTTCAACGTATTGAATTAATAAAGAAGAGGGATATTTCGCAGTAGCATCGGTGGTTCAGTGGTAGAATGCTCGCCTGCCACGCGGGCGGCCCGGGTTCGATTCCCGGCCGATGCAATATTTTTTACCAAATTTTTATTACATAAAAAATATATAGGTAGAAATGTGCTTTTGAAATTAACAAGTTTCCCATTTTGCATGATTACGGATAGCTCGCGTGGAAACAAAAATAATACGGATTCTGCATCGGCCGGGAATCGAACCCGGGCCGCCCGCGTGGCAGGCGAGCATTCTACCACTGAACCACCGATGCTCGTGTTAGACTCCCATAACTCTAGTATTTTCATGTCTATACCAATTTCTCTTTGTCTAAAGCCCACTTTTAATCATTTCGAATTTTAATTTCAAGATAAATAGTCGATGAAAAATCCATTACAATTTTTAACTTTTTATCGTGTGCGTATTTACAAACTTTTTTTTATCTTAGGATGATAATTTTATAGAAACCATTTCAAACAAGGAATTTTTATTAAACAGATTATCAATGTTTAGGAATAATTAGCCAAAGTTAATGATTCAAGTCCCAATAGTGTTCGCCGTAATCTCCATTTTTATTACCCCATTTCACCTAAAATGTAACAAATTATAAATAAATTACGTTTAAATAAATAATATGTCAATAATTCATCAACGAATATCAAAATGTTATTCTTGTATCATGTTATTGTTTGATTAACGAAAATGTGCTCTAATAAGTAAGACGTGTACAAAATATAAAATAATATTATTAAAGTTTAAATTATGATGAGATTAAGGACGTAATATAAATTACATTATATTACGTAAATGAATGCTATATGTATATCTTTATATTAATCATGAAGTAAGATTACCTTGCCACTATAACGATTATTGTCAAAATCTTTTCGTTCGAATCTTTGTTCCCACTCAGTAGGATTTTCACAGACATGACCAAATTCAATTTTAAGAGGTGCCAGATGTTCCGAAAATATGTCTCTACATCACATCAGGTGAACGTTAACGTATATTTACAATTCTTTGTCATTTTGCATAAATATTCTTATATTGAACTCGCTTTAAACGATCTATATTTGTTAGAATTTGGCATTCTATCCATAATTCAAACTGTTACGTGCCGGATGAAACAACCAACTTTGAAGACTACTGATATATGTACAGGATATTTAGTAAAGTATACCTCCATATGTATATAAAAATACACGACATATACATACAATTATAAACAGAATTCTATTCTAAAAGAGCCAATTACAGATCGTTTGAAAAGGAATTTACTCACTGAAAGTATTGTCCCATTGACAAAACATCCTCCGCTCTTGCTTGTGTCGAAGTCTCTTCTTTATTCACAAATTAGGAATTTAATTATAATTAAAACAAATTAATACATATTATCGTAAAATCCGACGCATAACTGATTCACTCGCGATACGATATTTACCTGTTAAAGCCATTTCTGTAAGTTTTTCCAATAAATTGGCCGTGACAGAGTTCACGACAAGTATTATCGTTGCCATTTGTGTCAAATATACATTGAAATTATATTTCGTTCGCATTGTTGTATTTAGTACAATTTGAGACTTGCGACATGAGAAAGTAAATAATCCGTTGATGTCTCGTCGAATGAATGTGAAGCACTGAGCGCGTTGAATAAGAGAAATTACAGTCTCTGTACTTGGCGACTTTTTTCCGGATGATACGCTCTGTTTATTTAGAATAGTGAAAGTATTAGCGTAATGCATCATTGATGTAGAATCTATTTTAAAATGTAAATGTCTAGTTTTTACGAACAATATACAATTGCAAAATTATTCAAAATATTATAATCCTCTACTTTATATGTATTTTATTTTTATTTCTCTCTAATAAATTACAATTAATGAAGCCAAACTTAAAAGATTAATAAGTAGCATTTGAATTATTTAATTATTTATCGTATGATAGGAGATAGCTATTTTTTCCACACTTTATCAGGGATTGAATTAACTTGACAAATCCAGTATCCTTAGGTTTCTCCAAACCGCGAAGCACACGGTTCTTCATCACAGCGACAAACTCCCGATTGCTAAGCTGTCCGTCCACTGTGGAACAAGATCCACGATGAGTAATGTAATTGTTTAAAATATATTTTGTATATTTAATACATATTTAAAATACATGCTATCGTGTGATGACTTGTAAAGAGAATAGAAGATGGCTTTTTCTGTTTAAATGCAAATAGTATTTCTATTGGTCAAAATTAACTCACTGTTTTCGTCGAAAATTGTGTATACCACTTGAATAATATGGTCGCTCAGATCAACATGTGCTACAGTTCTTGCTACATGTTTTAATGTTGCTGCAATGTTATACTAAATTATATATCAATAAAAATGGAGTTTGTTTGATATTTTAAATTACCAGTTTTTACAATCGATTCATAAATATTCTAAATTATTCTATTAAGTTTTAGTTAAAACATTTGTAACTAGTTATAATTATTCTACCTTGATCGATAGATGCGCCAGCTATATGATAAAACGTCAGAGCTGTATCAACGTCGTTAATGTTGTTTAAAAAGTGGAAAAACTTGAGGTATTCCTCTTTGCTGATTCCTTTCGGATCTTCTTTAAACCTGTATTTGATTGATATTTAACTATAGAATCATTTCTGAAATCTTGGATCTTCAAGTAGAAAAAACTGAATATTTTCACACTCACATCTTCTTTACTCTCTTCAACATTTTAGCCTTCTTTTTTGCTGTATACCCAGCGTAAGCCAATAATAATTCTGTAAAATCTACCTCGGTGATATTGCCGTGCTCGTCCGGATTTCGTCGCTCAAACTAAACGGACAAATATGCAATAAGCAAATATGAAAAATATTGAGTTGGTGAGTACATTAGTCCAAATTTGTGAATTATTATACAATACTTCAAGACTCAGAATTTCTCGTTGTAGTTGCTGCTGGAAGTCCAAGAATTTTTCGATCGTTAGCTTCTGATTCATTTGTGGTCCGAAAAAGTATGTTGTTAGTGCAGAATTTACTCCCTAAAATCCCAATAAAAAGTAAAGATATTAGCCAATCAAGTCTAACACATACATGTATGTATTGTTCATAATAATAAATATTAATGATAAAACCTTAAATGTGTTTCCTGTGGTTGCATGATCGCGATGACGAGTACCTATACTAGTTTGTTGCCGTATCAATGTAGATACTTTTCCAAACTCTGTAGAATCGACATCACCGTCCCCGTTGAAGTCAAACATTCGGAAGGCAATTTCAAAATGACGTCTAGAAGCTATAAACAGATTTAGAATATTGCAACTTGATGTTTGCATCATTTGAATAAAGTATCTTAAACTATCTTGATGTTATTTAATTAAGGATTGATGAAACAGCAAGGAGCTCACTTGACAATACAGTCAGCAGAAAGATGTAATCGGAAAAAGTAATAAGACCCGCACTGCCCAATTTGTAGAAGATGCTATCTTCGTCCAATTCTAATTCTAATTTGGTATGAATATTCTAAAGAAGAAAGGAAGCATTTCTATAGAAATTGCTTGCTTAGTATTTTGTTATCGAATCTCTATTAATATACCTTCGGATCGTAACGTCTGTACTGGTCCAGTCCAAGACCTGAAAGTTAATAATACAATCTTTATCATCGCATAGTCATTTTATGTAATAAAACATAATGTCTTGGACAAAATATAAACCTGATAATCTGATCAGGAAAAAATTCAAACTTGAAGATGTTAGTTGATTTGCACGTGCAAAGAAACTGCCGCAAGGCGTTAGCAAGCACTTAACAGTCCATTCGAAATATTGTATCGAGCGATCATTAATTTAAAAACAAAGAAAGGCGCATAAGGATGATATGGGATTACCCTCAGGCTGTTTCACGCCAGGTGTCATCGATCTTAAAAAGTCATCCGGTGTCATAAATACTTCATGCATGTCGTTGCTCGTGACCTGGAGGGTCGCAAAATAACGGAACACTTTATCTGGCGTCGAATAATGCCTTATACGATTTTCATATTCTATTATCTGCGCATACATACGGTTAATTCCGGTTAGTCAATAGTCACGAGTTTCATAACTGTAGAAAACTAATACTTGTCAATGGCTACGGTCAAGCTGTCGCTTTAAATGTTACGAAGTATTCTTCTTCAGAAAAGATAGGAGGAGAAAAGAAACACTTCGAAGCACTTGTAGCGGCGGCTTGACCGCAACTTATGTTACACATGTCCGACTTTGACAGCAGTATTTACTTGATGTTGTATGAGAAATTAGTGTACAAATTTCTTACAATTAATTAGCAGAGCGAAGCAGGTAAGTAGTGATTAGTAGATTTCACGTAGACAATTGTGAACATTCCACGATTATATTTCAGCCTTAATGCAATAAAAATTTTGGAAGCCCTACCATCTGGCTGCTGCATTCCTGGCGTGATAGCTCGGAGAAAATCATCGGGGATCATATAAATTTCAGTACTCTCTAAATGAGTTACTTTCACAGTCGCGAAGTAACGAAAGATTTTGTCTGGTGTCGAAAACGCTCTAATCCTGTTCTCGTACTCTATTACCTGTAAAAACACTTCTGCCTGCATCGCTCTGCTACACAGACACATGCTGGTACAAATAAAGTATTAAGATGTTCAGTTACTATTACAATCTAACGACATATGGAAAAATAATTTTGTTGCATATCTCTCTCTTTCTTATTTTATTAAGCAATTCATTTCAATTTCTTGCAATATCCATTGAAATAAACTTGGACAACTTTAACATGCACAAATGTTACTATGTATACAATTCCAGTTTCTAATAGACCTTTCTATCGCGAAATCCAATCTTCTGCTTTTTGTTCTTCTTCTTCTTTTGCATGTCTTGTTCTATAATTTCTACACTATCATTATTTTGACTCTCTTCCACTACGAGGCTGGCAGCATCTACTTTAGGTATTTTAGGTACTAGGTTCGACACACTATAAAATGAAATAATACATTGATATATCGAGTAAAATGTTGGCATTGTTCGACTGTAATTAATATTATCGACTTACCGCTGCCAATCAAAAAGACTCATAACCATAACAGCGCTACAAAGTATATACGGGATACAATGGCTAAAGCGATCATTCCTTCTAGTATGACCGAAATTCCTAAAATTACGAATCTGACTGTGTTCGTATGTATTTTTCCTGTAATTTTTCTGCGATTTTGCAAAATAGAGTGTATCGATGGGTAAAAGCTTCCGTCGCAGATACTGTTGGAACACACGTGTGCTTCTACCGAGCGACATTGCTACAGCTGCAAATATGGAAAATACATTTTATTTCTTTTTCAACAACTATACAGAATTGTATAGAATTTATAGTTGTATCTAGAGTAGCCAATTATTTAATAATAAATTAAAAGCATAAGATAGGTACAGGTTTACTTCCATCTAATTATAATCTTAAATATACTAGTGTAATTAGAACTAATTAGGACTAGTAGAATCCTCACCTGACACGTCTGCAACGTCTGTAACTATCTATTTTTTTCTTCTTCTCTTTTGTTTTCTATTTTCTTGAGTGAATTCTCTCAAATACGTATGTCTAAAAATTCTAGTAACGAGAAGGATAAACGGCCTTCACATGATACAGAAAATGTGGCCCCCTACTACTCGTACTGCGTAGTCACACGAAACTTCCCAATCGATAACAAGTTGTCATCGACAAGGTAGGGTTACCAACAATTCTCCAAAGCTCGAATGTTTTGGAAAACGTGGACATGAACGACATCAACTCATAAGGTATTCATAGTCCGTTCTTACAGGTATATTTAACATCGTAACAACTTAAGTATACTCTTAATGTATTTTTAACCAATCACAGAGCCGTCTTAGCTTCTTAAGACAACACTTACATTGATTTTGAAATAAGGCCAACGGCACACGACAAACAACTTTTGTTTGAAACGTTTTTCCGTATGTTTCATATTTTTGTAGATATTTACGTGGATTATTAAAAATGAGACACCCTGTAGATTATAGTGCCTTTACTAGTTTTCGAGATTCCCGAGTTTCGCGATTTGATGTTAAAAATTCTCGAAATTCCAATAGTGCCACCTCTTTGCTGACCATGTTCTCCTGATACTTTGCCAGTTTTCGAGAACCTCGATTTTAGCGATTTGAAATTCTCGGAATTCCAATTCTTGTAAATTTAAATAGTGTCATCTCTTTGCTGATCTCATGTTCTACTGATACTTTGTCAGTTTTCTAGATTCTCGATTTTTGCAATTTGAAGTTTGAAATTCTCAGAATTCCGATTCTTGGAAATTTTGATCGTGCCACCTCTTTGCTGATCATGTTCTCCTGATACTTTGTCAGTTTTCTAGATTCTTGATTTTTGCGATTTGAAGTTTGAAATTCTCGGAATTCTGATTCTTGGAAATTTAGATAGTGCCACCTCTTCGCTGATCATGTTCTCCTAATAC